CTTAGATCCTTCGATCTTAGATTTTTGCCTATCTTAGAGTCAAACTCAAAGTCCCGATTCACTCCATAGAAGCCTAATGTTAAATTCCCTCATATCTTAGACCTTCTACCTTAGACTTTAGAGTCATTGTCTGAGACCCAATAGGTCCGTATGTGCCTCGTATCTTAGAATTACCAAAATTGACAAAAATAACGTCATTTATTTTTATTTTCTATCTGAAATCTTCCCTTTAATCTTAGAATTTCAGACAATTTTTCCCTCTGATCTTAGATTTATCCTTCTATCTTAGAATTTCAGCGATATTTACCTTTCTATCTTAGATTTTTCCTTCTATCTTAGAATATCAGCCATTTTTGCCCTTCTATATTAGATTTTGCTATCTTAGAATCCTTCTATCTTAGAGTCATTTCCCCGGTCCCGACCAGGTCTAAGATCCAAGGTTTAACAGTACTGTACATACAATGACAGAGTGAATGGCGCCGATGCGAGCGCAGGCCAGCATAACAGTGACCAACTCTATGGTCACCGACATATATACGGCCACTCTATCACCCCTTTTAATGCCCAACCCTTTCAACACATTTGCAAATTTGCAGACATCGCGCAGTAATTCATTGTAAGTGATTTGTTTGTGTGATTTATCATCATTGGATTCCCTATTATTTTGTAATAAAAGAATATTATAATTTCTTAATTGATCAAGGTAACACTATTTCATCTATGACAATTGATTCAAAATTAAGAAAAGTCATATAAAGCAAACCAATTGCTTAGGAGAAAAAGTGCTGCTTTAATTATCTTGGTTATAACTATTTATGCAATTCTTATCATGGCTGTACTAAAAAACAATAAAATTATCATAATATCCATATTTACTTTACTTCAGGATACTATTTTACGTATTAATGATTAAATTATTAACTAGTAGTTATGTTTTAGGTTTCAAATAATTTTTATAGCATTATATTTTTATCATATGATCATCAATTAAATGACTTGTATTTTAATTTTTAATACATCGACACTGTTTTCATCGGAATAAATAAATTATTAGAAAAATTAATTTTTAAACCAATCACAAAATTATAATTAATAAAACTATAATGATAATATTTATAACTACTACTGTATTAGTTAAATAATTATTACTGTAGCTGACATTGAAATAATTATACAGTGCAAAATATATAATTGATTCAAATATTTTTAAAGCAATTAAGATAATTTCAAAAATAATTATAATTATTTATTTAATTAGAATCACCTTGCTTAAATGCGTAAGAATATATTTGAGGCATCATAATAAAATTAGTCAATTATTATAAGTATTTTATACCTTAAGGCTAATTATTAAACAAATCCATTTAATAAATAATTAAATTTTCTGAAGTATTTCTTTAAATTTTTACACCTTATACAGTAAAGTATTAATAGTTTTTATATCACAGATATTATCAATACTTTAATTTATATTGAGTGTAATCGCCGAAACAATAAGCTTATACAAAATGATCTATATAATGTTATACAGGTCATATTTGAAAAGTTTCACCAATATTGAGCCCAATTTTTGAATTTATAAATTTTCTGTTTTTGGTCATTATCTCAAAAATTTCAATATAGAATTTTTTCCTATCATACTCTTTAATGCTCTACACGATAGGCACAGTCGAGTTTCACTAACGTTTCCCTTTACATAAAATTCACCCCGAAACTAATTCTAAAGCTTATTGTTACTGTTACTCTGAAACATCCGGGAATTACTAATTACTGTGAATTAATTAATATAAATTAATAAAATAACATAACAAATAATTAAAAGTCTTATTGTTATAAATCATAATATATAATTTAAGTTTAGTTTCTTAAATCTAATGCCAATATTTCTCAAATAAGAGGTTTAATTGCATTTATAAAACTACAATTTGTAAAACACTAACCAATAATAGGCGACACGATCTCCGAGTCCTTTATTGACGCACAAATCCAAGACATTGTAAGACATATTGGTTTGACATCCATCTAACCATTTGACACAAACGGGTCCTTTAGTCACATCGAAATTATAGGACACGACCTCTACTTCTTGTGGCCATCGCTTCCAGAAGAAGTGATTCGCGATTTCCATCCAAAAGCCTTCGGGATCTGAGACTGACTTCTGGTATAGTTTTGTGTACTCATCGATGGACGAGATGTGAGCCGTCGAGCGGTACTCTTCCGACGCATAATAGACACCATCGCTGGGGTTGTCGTCGATAGCCATCGCAAACACCGGTCGGACAAACACTGACTTTCAAAAGCCTATTAAATCCGTTCACAATATTATTTTTAATAATTTCCTACAATATTAGCAAAATTCACATCAATTGAGACAAACGCTTAATGAATCAAATGTTTCTCAGAAAAGTTTTAGACTTAAAAATAATAAATTTAAAAAAAAATGAATGTATTAGTTATTAATTTTAATGTTAGCGCAGTTATCAGCCAATCATAAATTAGCTTACTCTTTCTATCACGTATGAAGTAGTTGTTGCCTATTATGAAATCATATATTATACAGTATTTTTACCTCAATTACTAAGAATAAGACAGAAAAATATTATATTATTATTACAACAAAACACTTTTCACATAAACATTTCGTATAAAACATAAGCAATCATTTATGAGTACATTAAACGATATAAATCAATATCAACAGTAAACGTGATAATCAAGTAATTAAAAACAAAT